AAATATGCAAGTAAAGCCATCCAGGAAACCTTATGAAAATATTCTCCTGTTCCTTCCCCCATGCCTTCGGCAAACTTTCTCTCTAAGAGGAACACTCTCTATCTCCAGGTTGCTCTTACGAAACTAGTGACTTTCCTGAATATAATCCAGAAATGGACAAGGTGGCACAGACAAAGATGAAAAACAAGTTCTCAACCATATGAAGTCCAAGAAGGACTCAGCTGCAGATGTTAAAATTTACCAGCTCTTGTTCCAAAGATGATGATAACCTGAATTCACAAGAAGCTTTGCCTAGAGCAGTGTTTCTCAGAGTGGTCCGTGAAACCACTTTGAGAAACCTGTTAACTGGCTGTGCCGGTTTGTGTACTTACTGGCGCCACAGCCACGTCACTTCTTGCCGGGACACGTTAGTTCGAACCAAACCCCTTGGTTCAAACTAACGTTACTCCTTTGAGAACGTTACTCCTGAAACGGGCCCAGCCCACGCCACTTCTTGCGGCTCCCCTTGGCTGCAGATGGTGAAATGGAGCCAACAGGAGCCACAAGGTGGCCGCAGCACCGGTAAGTAAATGAAATGGCGTGGCCAATTAACAGGTTTCTCAAAGTGGTTTTATAACCACTTTGAGAAACACAGGCAGACAGTTGTTCGTATTGTTGATAAAGTATTGTCTGTGATGCAGAGGGCCACCTACATGAAAACACAACCAACAGCTAGTCAAGGAGAAAAGTAAACCAGCTTATTATAACTCAATTTGTTTATTTATCCATGTAGCTCTCCTCTGAGCTATTTCACAACCCACCCAGTTGAAACAAAGCATTTCACATTGGAAACAGATCCAATTTCTACACATTGATGACACAAGTACACTCCTCTGTGCTACTTTTTCAGTTCTTAAATTTCACTTAGGATCAAATGTTATGAGCATTAATATCTCCAATAGCAGATTTTAAACTCTACGCTCTCATCTTCAACAGCAGTGCTGCAGTCAGGATTTACAAGTAGAAGGAAGTCCCATCTAAAATGACTTATGGGCATGTGCTCCTCAGTATTATACCACTTATAAAAATGGAGGGGATTATTTGGGACTAAGAGACATCAAATAGCTAATAGTATCCTCACAAGAATTTTTTTTCAAACCATAGGAAGACAGTTGGCTCTGATTAGCCTTCACTTTTTCTCCCTGCTATTCAGTTTGTAGACTCTGAAGAAGCACTTTTGACTATATGTATCTGCAATGTACTACACCAGTGGTTCTCAACCTATGGTCTGTAGACCCGTATATCTACAGGGTCCATGAAAGAGGACTATGAAAATAAATTTTCAGATCGCAGAAAAGACATTCCATTTTTCTTATCAATCAAAAAAAAAAAATCACTCCCACCTGTAGGTAAAATTCAGAACTGTTGGCTTTACTGTAGTGCTCTTTCTTATGCGGTGTCAAATGCCATGCTGAGAATATGCAACATTTAAAGTTGAATTCTGTTCAGCCAGTTTTCAGTCTAAGACTTTTATGGTAGAGATCGATGGGCAGCAGATTGAGTTTCCAAAGGGATCTGCACCTCCATTCAAAATTTTGTATGGGTCCGCAAATGAAAGAGACTGAAGTTCCCTGTGCTATGCTAACTGGAGTGAAATCACGGCACACAAAAGGCTAACACTGAACATTTTAATCACACACACACCCCCCCAACCCCAGCTTTCTAATAAACTTTTACATTCTTGATTTGCATTTAGAAATAATACACTGTGAATATGGCCATCTTTTATGATGGTTGCTAAAAATGTCTGGCATAAATATCTGCAGTACACATGCTTCTCCACCAGGGGACAGGGCAGTCCAAGGTCTTCAGCAGCAACCACCACAGAGGCAGTTTGCTTTCTAACTGTAAAATCACAAGGGAATTCTCCCCCAGGAAAAAAGGATTTACAGGAGTAAAGCTTGCAGCTGCCCAATGAGATTTAAAATTCTGTTATAATTCCAGGTAAATTGCTTCATTATTTAACAACTACAAAATATAATCTCACTAGTCTCACTCTGGCAAGCACTGACACACAAAATAGATCTATAATTGCTTTTGAACCTAAACAAGTTATCCTGAATTTCTATATTAATGCAAACATATAAAGGATTACGATTTACAAAACACAGGCTGTATTTGTTAAGCATCAAAGTAACATTTTGATCACTTCTTTCTGTTTGCTTAGAGTCATGTTAAGTATGTTATACTAGCTACAGTATAACAACATATCGCAGCTTTTATGGAATCTTCCATGAGACCACTTTGCAGTTTTTTACAAACACTAATGAATTTAGCCTCCATCACTTCTGCCAGGTAGGCAGCATTAGCCCCAGAAAAAGGAATTGAGGTACCAGGTGGTAATGGATGCATTTAAAAAAATAAGCTGTAACCTGTGGTGCCTTGAGGCACTTACGGTCCGATTTCTGTGAGGAGTTAAGAATGTACAGCTCCTACTATAGTTGCCAGCACTTAGTTCTTCTGAAAAATCAAATTTGGGGGATCTAACATTGGGCACCAAAAACGCAGGCAATCTAAAAGTAAAGGCTGTTTAAGAGTTTGTGCCTTTGTTGCCCAAGGTCATAAAAAATGCTGAGCCAGACCTGGGGGAAGGATCCATGCCTTATAGATCTGTGCTGTAAAAATAGCAGCAGGCAGTTCTGTCCCTGAATGGCTTCCAGATCAAATGCTCTCATGGTACAAGTAAAGATTTTCTCTTCTGCCAGTCCATTCAGAATAAACGGTACATCCTTGTTGGACAAACCAACCTTTGGGCTGTCTGCATGGGTGAGAGACAACGATTACTCAGAATTAAGTGTGTCTGTTACAGCATAAAATTGGAAAAACCCTGGCTCTGTCTTGCAAAAATCAGTCAACTTTACATCAAAACTGAGTAAGTCATAACACTTTTTCAAATATGGCAGGAAGGGTTATTTCCCCATTTTTTAAATTGTGTCTGTGACACTAAGAGCATTCAGAAAAGGTTAGTCCATAATTCAGATAGAGGACCTGATTTTCCTCTTACACCATTTAAATGCCATTGACTTTATGCTAGCTAAGGAATCAGACCCACAGTTTATCAATAAAACTCTTGATACTAGGTTTTGTTTTAGGAAACCATATAACTTATGTGGTATTTGCAGATCTCCTATCATCACTAAATGCATTTATATAATTAAAAACCCATTCAGTATCAGTGTAGTTGGTACAGGACTATTTAATCAATATAAAAAAGATCTGGGGATGTATAATGGAGCTTTTGCTGTTTTAACAATCCTGAGCTGATAAAAGTCAGCTCAGGTGAGGTAAGATGTATGGAAGGAGCAGACTCTCTCTCTGCTGTTCTGTTAGTCACAAACTTTGGAATACAATAAAAAAGCTCTACTGGTATAGAAGTTTTTACTTCTGGACGCTGCCTCAGTGCTGCTGAAGTTCAACATCTGGCCTGCGGGATAGGTTTCAGCCTTTGGCTGTGCCTCAACTTCCCTATCTGTCAAATGAGGAGTTAAACCACTTTGCAAACGGAATTCCAGTTTTGTAAGTTCTCTGCAAGTAAGCACTAGAGAAGTACATTTATCAGCACTGGGTTTAGAATCAATTCAAAAAGCCACAATCACATCAGGCAGAAATAGGCAAGAGCTGTGCCTCAGGCCTAGCTATTGGAGGTCTGGCAGCACATAACCGTTGGAAACAACAACTCTCTCCTCTGCTTCCGCACCTATGGACCAGTTGTGCAGTGGAAGTAGAACTGATGTTGAGCCCTGCACTGATCAGAGAGGAAAAGAAGAGGTCCTGAGCTACTGCAGCATGCAGCCAACATGCAAAAAGGAAGTCAGGACTCATGAATGCTCCTCTTCCATCCTGCTATGGTCAGGGGACTATCTCTGAGATTCACCTTAGGGCTGGATGGTGCAAGAAGAAAGTGACAGAGACCCACTGGGCCATTTCCAAAGCACCATCCATCCCATGCACTATTTCCTGTGGAAATAATATAATCTGATCATGTAATTAAACACAGTTTCATTAAGCATATATGTAAGGGGACTTAATTAAGATTACACAGGGAGGGGCTGTTCTGGCACCAAGCAGAGGAATAGAGAGCAGGGAGACTGGCTCTCCTGTGTTCTTAATGCCCCCCTCTTGACATCTAAGCATCATGGAAGAGGAGAGAGAAGCAAGTCTTATCAGCATAGCAAAAGGGATGTACCTGACACCACTGCAACTCCTTGTCAAAGTTTAAATCCCAGCTCTAAACCAAGGAGGTCCTGGAGCATCTCAGCAGAAGAGCAGTAAGATTTTTTTTCCTCCCTCTAATCTCTTTTTAAGAAACAGCTGAATGCATCAATTTATTTTCGGAAAGCTTCAATTAAAACCAAACAGTCAACATGGAAAATGACAGACCAAATGCTTTAAGTTTGGCAAACATAAAAGCAAATTAAAATAGAGGCTTATCATGGAAAGTGTTGGGCAACCTTAATTATAAATGTCAACACCAGCTCTGCCTATAACTTTTATGGCCAATTTGCAAATGTAAATGTCACCAGACCATTTCATTTTACAGTAAACTGAAATCTTATATTTTACAAGAGAATTTACATGAACACAGCTCCATCTTCTGTAGTATGCTATAACCATTGTGTTCCACTAGAAGTGAAAACTTACATGGAATCACAAGTGGCTCAAATTTATTACAGCTGCATATTTTCAGGAGCATGTTGAACCTCTTTAGTCAAACATGCTCAGGACCTAACAGGTGTCAAACCAGACAATTTGACCAACCACAGGAAGTCAAGATCATCTAGATTACCAAAAACTTCCACTGCTTACTGGGCTCTTAGAAGACATTTAGAGATAAATGAGAGCTAAATAACAGCATAGAATCTGAGAATCAGGACTGTTGGCTGTAAACAAATTTTATGGGACCATGGGAAACTTGGCAATACCTACAATAAATGGACATCCAGCTAACTAAAATCATACTGGACCACAGATGTTGCCAGAACACAGTGCTGGCCTAGGGAGGTTCAACCTGTAATGGGAAGATATGGAGCAGTTCACTGACAAAATATCTTTTTTTAAAGTTTAGATTAAAATTGACACCAACTATACTTCCCACTTCCGTGAAAGTGTTGTTCTTAATGTAATTAATAACATCTAAAAAATTATACATATACACCTAATATTTGTCTTATCCCCATCTTTTTCACTTTGAGTTTGCCTGCATTGTGTATCTAAATGCATGTTTCACTGTCTCCCTTGTATAGTCAGTTTCATCCAGTGTTTTGTGCAGATTTTTCACGCAACTACAAGAGTGAGAAAATGTTTTAAAAATAAGGAAAAATTGGCAGACTACAGTAAATGAAACTACTTAATTTTTTTGGATTCTGACTAGATTTCTATTTGATGATCGCCCTTTCTTTTTTAAAAACCAATTTCATCAATACTATGGTTAATTTAAAGCTTTTCAAGGTAGAAACAAAAATGAAGAAACAAGGCAAAAATTCATCAGACTATAGCAAAACCAGCTTCTTTGGTACAAACTGTTTCCTTTTTTGCAAACCTAATGAAATGTATTCCTCCCCCACATCTGTTTCCTGGGTAATACACTTCACATTACAATAACCCACTGCACATATTTATTGTAGAATATTGTATAACAGACTGATTAAAAATGAACAAAAGAACATAAAATGATTCTTAACAAAAATTGCTCATTTTGCCAAACATCTTAATTAGAATACCAATTCTATGAAAAGGGTCATTCATTAAATGTGTTTGAAATCTAACTATTCCTCACAGTTTTTAAATAAGGTTTACATGTATTGAAGTAATCTGAGTCACTTTTAACAAACATACTTTGCCAAATATGGTCAAGTAGGCTCAGAGAAATTGACTGTCCCTATATTTAAATGTACGGTATTTTCTAGAATGGATCATAGGATAGTGTCCCTAATAACTAAATATGGACAACTATATGATAAACATACAAAGCAAACAATTTAACAAGAATAAACTGATTTGTGTTGCTGAAGAAAAAAGCAATTACATTGTGAAGATAGTTTAAAATACTGGCAAGTTCAGAAGTTATTTTAAACGCATTAGACAGAAGGCATATTTTATTTTAAATTTACATTAGGTTAAAAAGTTATGTGTAGGCAATTTTTTCCAACAGCAGCATACTACATAGTCAAACATCTGTAACTTAATCTGAACTTTCAATAGAAAGATCTGTTATTTAATTCTTTAAAAACCAGCTGTGTTAAAAGGAGACATTCAAGTTATAAAGAAAGTCTTTCTCTTCTATACACACACCTCAGATTATGTTGCTTTCACCCTGAAAATCAGGTTTTTTTGGTCAAACTTTGTTGAGCTTGGTAACGATCAATACCCTCACAGTCTGGTCAAAGGCACTGCAGACACACAGACCCCTTTTGTCAGGGCTCCAATCAAGGCTGGAAATGGGCTGTGTTGACAAAGTTACATTCTGTAAGAGAGTGACTGAACCTGCCACCCCCATCTCAACTCCTTCAGAATCCGTCTTTGAGCGCTGAGCAGGGTACTCACTGCCAATAAGAAAGAAATAAGCATCAAACAAGCCTGGTTTTAAAATATGTATCATAGATAAACACTACATGAAATACCACACGCACACGCACACACTTTTTTCACAAATCCTATTAGAACAGAGGTGGGCAAAAGGGCCTCTGCAGGCCAGATGTTGCCCACCAAGCGGGTTGATCAGGAGCGCTGAGCAGGGTACTCACTGCCAATAAGAAAGAAATAAGCATCAAACAAGCCTGGTTTTAAAATATGTATCATAGATAAACACTACATGAAATACCACACGCACACGCACACACTTTTTTCACAAATCCTATTAGAACAGAGGTGGGCAAAAGGGCCTCTGCAGGCCAGATGTTGCCCACCAAGCGGGTTGATCAGGCTGCTGTCGGTGGGCAATCATGGTCTGTGGGTGAGGAAGCGGTGGGGAAGCAGGGAAAGCAGGCCCAGGGCCACTTCAAAAATTTCTGAAGTGGCCCCTGGCAAAAAATTATTGCCCATCCCTGAATTAGAAGGTGACTCCCATTCCCTAAAGACACTGAAAATATCAGTGCTAAATCAGAATTTTAATCCAATTCAATTTAAATAAAAAGGGGATAAAATCTACATGATGAAATTCACCACTGTTTATGGAATCCATACAAGGCCATCCACACCATTTTAACCCTGTGTTAAGGAATCAATTCAGATCACAACATCCAAGCCCCAATAACCAAACCAGGCATCTCTCACTTCCAAGCTATGGAGCCACTCTATCTGAGGTAGGCGCCATTTGTGCTTACAGAGTAAGTACAGGAATAAGAGAAGATGGCCAGGGGATGAAATTGAAGGATCCATTGGCTCTCCCCGTTCCATGCTACTATGCAAAGCATTAATAGAGTGGTGCTCTGTGCCATGAAGGGAATATACACTCTAAGTACTGTCCTCTGCATCCAGATCATTCTGCACAGAGGAACTGACTGGGGCTCCCTAATGAACTCCCTTTGACTTTCAGGATTACATCTCAAATGTGAAAAGCATCATGGTTCAATGGACTGAACATCAAGTGGTGAGACAGGAGAACCCAAATTCTATCAAGCTCTCTCATACTTGCTAGTTACTTAGGTTTTAGCTTTGGGTAAGTGACTTGTGTGCATGAGATTTCCACAAAAAATGATAAGGATAATATTAATCTACCTCATGGAGTTGCTATGACAATTAACTTACATTTGCACAGTGTTTCTTTTATACATAAAATGCTAAGTATTAAATTATTTCAGTCCAAAGCCTTTTTATATACTTCTCAGCAATATCCACTACCACTAGTAATGTAAAAAAGTAGTCGAGTTGACTACTCACACTCTCTCCCCTTTGCAGCCTCTATATCAGAGGCAGCAAAGGGGGCCTAGGGAGAAACGGAGCAGGAGCTGGAGGGGGCTGGCTTAAAAGCTGGTTCCTTCCAGCACCATCTCTGTGTGGGGGGGTGGAGGGAGGAGAGCATGGGAGGCAGATCCACAGCAGTCTGGGACCCAGTACGAGCCAGAACTGTTCAGTCCCAGCTTGCACCAGGTCCTGGACCTACCCCCACTGCAGTTCTGCCTTTTATATGTAGAAAAGTCAGGTGGCTCTTACTACATTTAAAAGGCAGAGCCACAAAGGTCCTGGGGCTACCCCCGTTGCGGCTCTGCAGATTACCTCCTCTTATTGACTAATCATGTAGTTGATAATAGTTTGTACAAACTGTATTGACTACATGATTAGCCAAATACCTGCTCTTTAATGCCCTTCATTACAACAACACCTTTAAGAAATCTATTATTCAATTTTACTTGTCATTAACAGACAACATAATTTAGATCTTGATTACACGATGCTAAAGATCAAGGATCAAATTCATCCTTGTTGTAAACTCACAATGCCAATCAAATTACAGAAGGGACTTTTTCAGGCTTTATTATAAAGACCTACTGTGATTTGAATGGTTTGTAACTTAATGAATTTAAATACACCTTTTCCAGGAAGATTTTTTTAGAATACATGGTAGTTTTGTAACTTTTTAAACCTAATTTACAGCAGATAGTGAACACTTACTATTTCCAGAGATGAAGGCTCCCAGCTCCTCCAGTAGTCATAAAGATATCCCTGTTCTGTGGCAGGTGCCGAACTTGCCACATGGTGGATTTGTAAGCCTAATAAACACCAGAGTCAGACAAAATTAGTTACAGATTAGTCTTATAAGTAAGATATTAATCATGTTAGTAGTTGCCTTTGCAGGAGTATTCACCTTCAGTATGACTAGTCATGTGAGTAAAATTAAGCATAGGCATACATACTCACGAGGCCATAATCAAAAACAATAATCATGTAACTACTGAATTTCCATACTCAATTATAAAGATAATTATTAATGCCATCCTAGAACTCTTTTCAACAATTACCAGAATTTGCTATGGATTGTTTTATAAAAAGCCAAGAAAGAATGGGTAAATAATGTAAGCAGGACATGTAGAAACCAAACCAAAGTATGCAGAACAAACCAAAAAAAGCTTCGGACATTATATATGTTCACTAAGGAGCAAGTTTTTGCATATATCCCAAAAAGAATTGTTTAACATTACACAAATTATAATACAATTTTCATTTTCATGTCTTGATTGCCATGAACATTAACTAAGTTAATATTTTTAGGTATTAAATGGCCAACCTAACACACTCATTAGTATATTTTATTTACTGCAAGCTTCAATAATGTCAGAAAGAAGCAAATAATAGATGACATTGACCTTTTGCTTAAAGCAGTGTGGGGAGGTGGCTTGAAAGCCAGCTTCCCATGTCAGAGACAGCAGCATAGGGGTGTGGGCAGGGCTGCCAGGCCCCCCTACTGCCTCAAGACTGCCCCTGCGCATGCCAGCTCTCCCCCTCTCGCATGCTGCTGCCTTTGTGGGAGTCGGGGCGGAGGGATGTCAGGTGGCTCCATGAGAGCCGGCATCCTGCACATATTGACTCCCGTCTCTCCTGCTCGCTGTCTATGATACAGAGGCAACATGGGGGTGGGGGGAGGGAGGGGGAGAGAGAGTGCATGTAGTCAATAGGATTAACTGATAAACCCAGGCTTATTGGTTAATAGTGTAGTCAGCTACATGTTGACATCCCTAGTTTTTACCCTATACAGATTTCACATGGGAGACCAGTGGGATCCTGACCCAAAAGGGAGTTGTGTGGAAAGGGGTGTTTATAAGGTTTTTTTGTGGGGGTTGCCACCAGTGTTTCCTCTAAGCTGTATAATCAGCTGTATAATTAGCCCTGTCCAGTCAGAGGCTCAGGGCTCCATGCAGGGAGCTGACTTACTGGGTGGGGCTGATAAATCACCTATGAAACTGTGCTGCTATGCCACTTAGAGGGAACACTGGTTGCTGACCTTACTTCTGCCCTGCCTTCAGAGCTAGGAGACTGGGAAATTGTGACTGGTTGGCCAGTCAATCAGTTCTCAAGGCAGAGCCCTACCGGCAGCAGCAGAGAAGTGTGGCAACCACACCATTCTTACTTCTGCGCTGCTGCTGGTGATGGCTCTGCCTTTGGACCTGGGCAATTGGAAAGTAGTGGCTGTTAGCTGGAGCACTGCTTTCAAGCAGTCTCTGCTCTTCAACTGCCCATGTTTGAAGGTAGCACTCTCTCCAGCAACCATGGAGAAGTAAGGGTAGCAGTAATGCAAACCCTCCTACAATAACCTTGTGACCTGCAACTCCTTTTTGGAGAATCCCTATGATTACAACACCGTGAAATTTCAGATTTAAATAGCTTCTTAATAAAATTTACAATTTTCAAAATCTTATGACTGTAAAATTGACAAAATGGACCATAAATTTGGTAGGGCCCTACTAATAACTAACAAATGGTGTACTAGGCTACATTATCATATTTAGAGAGATCTCAAAATTGACTTGTGTCCCTCTGGCCTCCAAACAGTGGACATCCTCCACATATTCATGAGTCTGCTTTTACATCCTTCTCAACGTCTCATATTGCAGTGAACATGCTCCTAGCCAACTCAACCCAAAAAAAACCCTGCCCATAAATGTTCAGAAGGAAACTTTCCTGAATGACAGCACTCCCTTCTTTTCAGTGAGTAGATCAAGAGCAGAAGTTGAGCCTGAGTCTCCCACACAGCAGCATACAGATCAGACAGCCGGCCCCCTCTCCATATCTTGAAGTGATGTATGTTACCTTTCATATGGTCAATTAACACTTTCTGAAGTTCAAGTCAGAGGGTAACAGGTACTGACCATCACAAATCCCACTGACATCAGTTGGATGATGGGGTGCTCATCACATCATATCACTGCCAATGAACATTCAATCTGCTTATCTTCACATCTCCTATGTAATAATTTTAAACTTACAAAGCTGCTAGAACACCTTTGAAGAGTAAATATGAAATTTCGCTCTTAACAACAACAGCCTTCCCTTATACCATACCTTCTCTGAAATCGAAGCAAAACCTTTGGTTGGATGCTGAGTTCTCATATCAAAAACATGAAACTTTCCTTCGAGTGACGTGGCCACTAACTTATTCATATTTATATCTTTCCTGTCAAACTCCACACTGCAAACCTGGAAATAACACACATACATTCACTTTGAAATTCAGTTTATCACTGAAGAAGCATTTATTTTAGATTTGCAAAATATGGGCCCATCATAATCTCTAGTTACATTTACAATAGTAATAAGAATGCAACTGACTTTAGACATAACCAGATTCAACAAGATCATCTAAAAATCCTGAACCCAGTCATACCTGAATATATTCACAGAATCCTAGAAACTGGAAGGACCCTTGAGAGGTTATCCAGTTCAGTCCCCAGCACTTTCGGCAGGACCAAGCACCATTTAGACCATCTCTGATAAGTGTTTGTCTAAACTGTTCTTAAATAATCATCAGTTACTTCAAAATAACGCAGTGCGCATCTACACAGCAAGCCTGTTATAATAAATTCAAAATAACGGGTTTCTTACTCAGACTCCTGTAATCCTCATTGTATGAGGAGTAAGGGAAGTGAGGGGAAGAGTGCTCTATTTGGAAATAACTGCTGTGTAGACAGAACCAAAAGTCGAAATAAGCTATTTCAACTTTAGCTATACAATAAATGTAGCTGAAGTTGCGTAGCTTATTTTGAGCTTAGCCCTGCTGTGTATACATGTCCAAAGTTACAAAAGAATTAAGTATCAGGACCACATTCACCTAGCCATGAAGAAAAGAATGATCTCCAACCTAAGAACCCATAAATTAGGATTTGTTGGCCCAGTGGAGATTAAATCTTCCACAGATTTAATCTTAGTATCTGAATAGGTTTCAAATAAAGTGACCCTTTAATTTGTCCATATTACAAACAAATTAAAATACGTTTTTATGACACATTACCCCATTCTTAATGTTGGTCTCCCATCTCAATGACATGTTTTTTAAGTCAAATAATTTAATGTCACCATTATCATAGCCAGCACACACAACACGCTCCTCTTGATTGTAGGCATTGCCTAGAAATAAAGAGAACTATTTAGATTGTCAAAATTATCCCCGTCACAGTGTAAAATTAGTCATGAATTAAAATCTGCAGTTTAAAACTGTATTTATGTTAGACAAAAAGTAAACAGAACGTTTCTAATTAGAGTGTTAGCTGAAGGATCTGATTTTCAAGTAGTCTTCAAAATACTTCATTCTAGCCTTCAAAATAAAGTATCAAACTGATCATCCTGCCGATTCATGCCTAAATTGCATACACTACCTCATACAAGTATGTATCCCCCTAGACATGGTTGCATCTGTTTTTCAATTAATGTTCTTGGGTCTAATAACCAACCTCTGCATATCAATTCAAATAAATGTTTGTGCCTGGAAAACTATAGACAATTTCCCTCTGCTCCTTTTTTCCAGAAAATATTCTAATTGATTTAATTCACACAATTTAAAAATGTAGTATTCTCTGAACAGCAGATGATATGACTGATCTGGATATTCCTACTCATATAAGTAATCCAAAAAGCAAGTGACATCTGACCAGCGTTCCCTCTAATTTTTCCCAATCACGTGTGGAATGAATCTTATGTGCATAAGAACGGCCGTACTGGGTTAGACATAGGTCCATCCAGTCCTGTACCCTGTCTTCCAACACTGACCAATGCCAGATGCCCCAGAGGAAGGAACAGAACAGGTAATGATCAAGTAATCCCTCTCCTGTCATCTATTTCCAGTCTGACAAACAGAGGCTGGGGACACCATTCCTACCCATCCTGGCTAATAAGTATTGATGAACCTAACCTGCATGAATTCATCTAGTTCTTTTTTAACCCTGTTAAAAGTCCCGGTCTACACAACAGCCTCTGACAACGAGTTCCACAAGTTGATTGTGCAGTGTGTGACGATACAATTCCTTTTGTTTGTTTTAAACCTGCTACCTATCAATTTCACTTGTTCTTGTGTTATGAGAAGTAAATAACTTTTCCTTATTCATTTTCTCCACACCAATCATGATTTTATAGACCTCTATCATACTCTCTCCTTCATCTCCTCTTTTCTAAGCTGAAAAGTCCCAGTCTTTTTAATCGCTCCTCATATAGCACCAGTTCCAAATCCCTAATCATTTTTGTTGCCTTTTCTGAACCTTTTCCAATGCCAATATATCTTTTTTGAGATGAGGCTACCACATCTGTACACAGTATTCATGATGCAGGCATGCCATGGCTTTATATAGAGGCAATAAGATATTATCTGATTTATTCTCTATCCCTTTTTAAATAATTCCTAAAATTCTGTTTGCTTTTTTGACTGCTGCTGCACATTGAGTGGATGTTTTCAGAGGACTATCAACAATGACTCCAAGATCTCTCTCAAGTGGCTATAGCTAAATTAGTCCCCATCATTTTTTTATGTAAAACTGGGATTATTTTCTCCAATGTGCAATACTTTGCATTTATCAACATTAAAATTCATTTGCCATTTAGTTGTCCAATCACCTAGTTTTGTGAGATCCTTTTGAAACTCTTCAGTCTGCTTTGTTCTTAACTATCTTTAGCAGTTTAGTATCATCTGCAAATGTTGCCACCTTACTATCTTCCCCTTTCTACAGATCATTTTTAAATATGTCTAATAGGACTGGTTGCAGTATGGACCCCTGGGAGACACCATAGTTACCTCTCCCCATTCTGAAAACTGACCATTTATTCCTACCCTTTGTTTCCTGTTTTTTAACCAGTTATCAATCCGTGATAGGACCTTCCCTCTTATCCCATGACAACTTACTTTACTGAAGAGTCTTTGGTGAGGAACCTTGCCAAAGGCTTTCTGAAAATCTAAGTATACTATATCCAATGGATTCCCCCTTGTCCACATATTTGTCGAGCCTCTCAAAGAACTCTAGCAGATTAGTAAGGCATGATTTCCCTTTATAGAAACCATGTTGATTATTCCTCAACACCAATATGTGATCCAATATGGAGGTGATGTGTGATAAATCACCTCTTTATTGGTGCACATAAAGAAATTAAAGCGGTGAGGTTGAGGGATTTGAAGTGTGGGAGGGGACTCAGAGTGAGGAGTGTAGGTAGATGAGGACTCTAGCTGTGGATAAGAGCTCTGGGGTGGGACAAAGGGAAGGCTCCAGGGGAGGGGGAAAAGGCCCACAGCAGCCTTGTATACCCCAACTTGCTCCCCTCCCCAGTTCTTGGCCACCCCTACCTCTCTTTGCTCCAGGCCCCTGCTACATGGTCTTTTACAGCCTGTTGCATGGCTGTGAAGCTTAGAGGGAACTTAGCATCTGATTATACTCCGAACCATTCACAGGCTTTGCAGTGCAGCTTGGCACAGAGACAGCTGTAGCAGACCTTCTTTCCACAGTCTTCAACACATTCCATCACAGAGCACTGATGATTTGCTTACAAGACCTATCTGTAGGGGATGGTGCAACACTATTATGAATCATTTCTCTCAAACAGTACCCAATAAATAATGACAAAGCTGCTCATCTCTATAGCCTGGTCTACACTACGTGGGAAAGTCAAAGAAAGATATGAAATTCCAACTATATAAATTATGTAGCTGGAGTCAACATATCTTAAATTACCATCCACACAGCAGGAGCTTGATAAGAACAAATGGCACAAATGAATTCAATCTAGCGGGTCTGTACTATGCCCACTAAATCAAATCCTGGAAGATCAACCATGTAGTGTAGATGTACCCAAGGAGCCCTCATATATGGAATTCCACAGTGATGAAAACTGTCTTCCTCATCTTCAGTATCTGCAGAAAAATTCTTAGAAAGGATATGAGATATATGGGAGCTGTTGCCAAAAATATTGATGACACCAAGCTCTGTAAATCCTTTTCCGCTGACATAATCTGCATCATTGTCTGAAAGAAATTCACAGTCAAGCAAAGAGCAGATGGCTCAGACTGAACTCAGGCAAGATTTAAGCAATGCTGAAGGGAAAAGAAAATAATGAGAAGCTAGAGAAAGCTCTGCACATCATTTGTCAAGGCAGTACACAGTCACTGGTTCTTAGTCTTGATTTACACTATGGCTGTATCTAAACTGGCAAGTTTTTCTGCAAAAAACTTACCAGCTGTCTACACTGGCCACTTGAATTTCCACAAGAACACTGACTTCCTACTGTCTGAAATCAGTGCTTCTTGCGGAAATACTATGCTGCTCCTGTTTGGGCAAAAGTCCTTTTGCGCAAAGCTTTTGTGCAAAAGGGCCAGTGTAGACAGCTCAGATTTGTTTTGCACAAAAAAGCCCCAATCGCGAAAATGGCAATCGGGGCTTTTTTGTGCAAAAGCGCGTCTAGATTGGCAGGTACGCTTTTCCGCAAAAAGTGCTTTTGCGGAAAAGCATCCGTGCCAATCTAGACGCTCTTTTCCGCAAATGCTTTTAACGGAAAAGTTTTCTGTTAAAAGCATTTACGGAAAATCATGCTAGTCTAGACATAGCCTATAAGCTTATGTTGGTGTAAGTATATTATTCAGGACTGTGGAAAAATCCACCCCCCTGAGTGTTGTAGTTACTTCAACCTAATCACCCATGTAAACAGCTATGCATTGATAGAAGGGAGTCTCCCTGTAACACAGCTACTAAGTTTTAGGAAGGTGAAGTACAGTACCTACACCACTAGGAGCATTTCTGTCATTGGCATAGGTAGTGTCTTCACAGAGGCACAGCAGTGCTGTAAGTGTAGACAAGATCTTAGTGGATTAATCATTAATTCTGATTACTTCAATAGCAACTAGGGATGTCAGTTGTTGGCCAGTTAACTGGTAAGCATCACCCTTATGAGGTGATGCTTATTGGTTAACCAGCAATCCAATATGGGCGGAGTGGGGGGGGGGGGGGGGTGGGGCCGGGC